AAACGAATTAGCAATTGGAAAGTCCGAAAGAGACTCACGCACCTGAACTCCGCCACAGTCCACGAGCTTCGTGATGTCTTGAAGCCGAACAACGTCGTGATATACGTATCTCCGAATCTGGACAAAGGAAAATGTGAAATTGTTTGAGTCTGTTTGTTTGAGGTAAGGACAATTGGACTCTCAATGTAGTCCATTCGACCCTCGTCCTTTCCGAAATTGGCAATCCGCTTGAATTACCCGTGAACCATGCAAAATGCAGCAGTTTAAATGCGAAGAATTTAGCAACAGACGTACCTGGAGCATTTTATGGGATTGATGACTTGGCATGCAATGCTGGCAAAGCTCCTCCATGCAGTCCAGGCAGAACAAATTCATCTCGTTTTTTTTCAGCGACACGTGCTGCGTGCAAGGAGAGAAAAAATCCCCCTTCAGAAGGCAATCAAGCCACTGAGGACGCTCAACGGCAGAACCCTCGGAGAAAATCAGCGCTCTTCGTGCAGCCATGACTCCAAGCTGGAATTACGACGCAATTTTGTTCGAAGCAAATGTTCCCAACCTCCTGAAGGCAATTCAGCTGCTCTAGAAACAAGACAAGAAAGATACTTCCAGCATGTTGTTGACTAAATCCTGGGATTACTGAGAGTAGAACAGAACCACTAAATGGGAATGGAATGAGGAAGTGTGCTCGAGGACATTGTACGTGTCAATCAGTTCAGGCTGATTGTGAGCATTTGAATGTAGAGCCTTCCATTGGCTTGTCTAGAGAACGAGCAAGAACGAGGGGCTGCTGAGCTCGGCTTGATTCCGTTCCAATGCCCTCGAATCAGGGACTGCCCAAACAGCGCCAGCACGAACAAGAAAATGGCGTCACAAGTTTTTTTAGAGCTGCCCAGGCCTCTATACGGGCGGAGTCCAATGGCCGCTCATAACAAATCTCGGGTGATTCCGGCCATTGGACGATCAGGAGCTGCCCTTCCTGGAACAGTGTGTTTCAGCATACACACGCTGAGCGCCTGCCACTAGGAGGGTTCCTTGTGCCAGCGCGGATAATGCTAGAAAGGACCGTCAGACATGAAACTTTTCCAAGTTCGTCGGCATGTGCGGGCGCCTGATTTGTCATTCTCACATTGGCCACTTTTTTGTTTGACGAGCCTCGTGGTCCAAGAAAAAAACATATCAAGAAAAACATCTCCAGGTTTGGGGGCCAGCTCATGCAGTGCACCTTGGGATACAATGATGACGAGGTGTACGCTGTGGTCTGCTCTGCTCCTCTCACTCCCCCACACCTCTCACGCACGAGTCCGAGAGCAAACTTCCAAGTGTATTTCCAAACGTACGCCACCTTGAAACCTCCGAGCCTAAACCAAGATATCATGCCACAGCTTCTGCCAATGGCCTGTCTAGGACGAGTGCTTCTTCCCCCAGTTTAGAGGGGAGCCACGTCACACAGTAAGACAAATCTGAACACGCAAGAAATGCCCTCGGCAACTTTCACTCACACGCCAGTGACGCCACAGTATCTAACGCGCTGGCCCTTGCCGTACAATCGATAAAATGGAATCTGGCACGCGCAAACGAAAAAAATATCCCCCTCGAACGTGGGTATGGGTCAAGACGTCAAACATGATACTTCGCTTGATAACAAGCTTACAGTAAAGCGTACAATTTCAGAGAAGCAAACTCACCAAGAAATGTTTGTTTTCTTGGTATTACCATACATTCAAGAAAGTTAAAATTACATGTGTCATTTCTGCATGAAATATCTTCCTCTATATATAAAAATTATTCAGCACAGTGAGAGCAGCAGACGTGAGCTTGGTTCCCGTATTATGTATTTTTCCTCTCAATCCCTACCCAAACCTTTCCAGATTGCAGTGAGTTGCTGCAGTGGTTTTTTCTTTGGCAACTTATTGGATTGGATCGGTGAGTTGCATGCTGCACTGGTCTCGCCTCAAGGATGAAATTTGGTGTGCATATTTGCGGCTCATGCATGTGGTTGACCTGCTATCATGCATGTGGTTGACCTGCTATCATGCATGTGGTTGACCTGCTATCATGTGTCGAGAAACACTAGCAGAAAGTTAGAAACAGAAAGAGGGGTTGCACTAGCAGCAGATAGGATACATATAGCAAACCCTAATTTGGATTGTACTCACTATAGAGTACCCTACTGCAGACTAGACAATTATTGCATTCTGACACACCCCCATAGGCAAAGTGGGGTATGATCAGCACAGCAAGCAGTCAGCACAAGCAAAACTAGAGGCAGTCACATAAGGCAAGTGAGGAGGAGGAGGGACTGCGAGAGGAGTGGGGATAGGAGGCGACGGGTGAAGTCGCAGACACACGGGAAATAGGAGCGGCGCGCACGGTGGCTACCGGAGCAAGGGCCCCGGACTACAGGAGTAACTGGCTCCGCGGCTAAGACGAGCGGCAGGAGCAACGGACCCACGGGCAACTAGCGCAGCAGGCTCGCTGGGCTACCGGAGCAAGGGCCCCAGACTACTGGTGCTGCTGACGTCACGACGGCTACCTCCGCTCAACCTCCCCCAACTGTCCCACACCCCTTTCACACACCCCTTGCTGCACCCCTAGCTCCACTCCCACGACACCCCCCTAGCGCCACTCCCTCGGCTCCCACACACCCACCCCCCTCAGCGGCAGCTGCAGCAGTGGGAAATGGAGGAGGAGGAGGAGCAGGGGACGGCTCACACACCCGCCACCCCCATACCCGCCACCCCCATACCCCCAACGCAGGCGGCGCGCGTGCGCGCGTGCGGGGCAGATACGCGGGCAGCAGCTGGGGCGCTGCGACGGGCGACGGGCAGGGCGGCGCGCGGGCCCCCAGGGCGCCGCGACGGGCGACGGGAGGGGGCGACGCGCGGGCCCCCAGGGTGCCGCGACGGGCGACGGGCAGGGCGGCGCGCGGGCCCCCGAGGCGCCGCGACAGGCGACGGGAGGGGGCGGCGCGCGGGCCCCCAGGACGCCGCGACGGGCGACGGGAGGGGACAGCGCGCGGGCCCCCGGGGCGCCGCGACGGGCGACGGGAGGGGGGACGGCGCACGGGCCCCTGGGGTGCCGTGACGGGCGACGAAACCGCCGCGCGCGCCCGGGGCGCGCGGCGGGCAGGAAACCGCCACGCGCCCCGAGCGCGTGGCGGGCAGAAAACCGCCGCGCGCCCCGAGCGCGCGGCGGGAAGAAAAAACGCCGCGTGCGCCGGGCGCGCGGCAGGCAGAAAACGTCGCGCGCCCCGGGCGCGCGACAGGCAGGACAGTAGCGGAAGCAGGTGGGCCCATAGGCCAGGAGCGTTCTCGCTCTGATAGCATGTCGAGAAACGCTAGCAGAAAGTTAGAAACAGAAAGAGGGGTTGCACTAGCACCAGATAGGATACATATAGCAAACCCTAATTTGGGTTGTAGTCACTATAGAGTACCCCACTGCAGACTAGACAATTATAGCATTCTGACATCATGCTAGTGGTTGACCTGCTACCATGCATGTGGCTGACCTGCTATCATGCATGTGTGTTCCGCCTGCTGTGTTTCTCTCTTCTTTCGAGCATCATCCCCGTTGTTTTCGTTTCCCCCCTTCTTCCACATCAGACATGGGTTGCGACTTGTTGGGTTGTGGACTAGAGGGAGATTGTGCAATAAACGCCGATGGACTTCACTCTTGCAAGTAAGCATGGGACCCCAATAGGGTGTGGAGGGGAGAGGAGGGCGGGGGGGTAGGGAGATGGTTGCACATGGGAGGGAGATTGTGTGATAAACGCCGATGGACTTTGCTCTTGCAAATGGAGTAAGCATGAGCAGATGGGGTGAGCATGTTCCTAGCTTCTTCCGTGCACCTAACCCAGCCCATCCACACTCAAGCATGGAGGGGGGTTGTGTGATAAACGCCGATGGATTTTGCTCTTGCAAATGGAGTGAGCATGAGCAGATGGAGTCAGTATGGGCAGATGGAGTGAGCATGAGCAGATGCAGTGAGCATGGGCAGATGGAGTGAGCATGAGCAGACGGAGTAAGCATGGGCAAATGGAGTCAGCATGGGCAGATGGAGTGAGCATGGGCAGACGGAGTGAGCATGGGCAGATGGAGTGAGCATGGGCAGATGGAGTAAGCATGGGAAAATGGAGTAAGCATGGGCAGATGGAGTGAGCATGAGCAGATGGAGTAAGCATGGGCAGATGGAGTAAGCATGGGCAAATGGAGTAAGCATGGACAGATGGAGTAAGCATGGGCGAACGGAGTGAGCATTCTCCTCTAGCTCGTCTGGTGCGGTTACCCCTTTGCTGCTGGCTCTAAACATTCGTCTGCAGATAACCCATTTGTTGTGCTTGTTTTGCCATCTCTCCGCCATGCCATGTGTCTACCCTGCTTGCTGTGTGTCTCCCCTACTTGCTGTGTTGCTCAGAATCACCCAGTGGCACATGCCCTTCTGGAGCCACCTGCAAGACCGTCCCTACAACTGAACCCCCTCCCCTCCCCTCCCAACCCCTCACCCTGCTTGCTGTGTTGCTCAGAATCACCCTGTGGCACGTGCCCTTCTGGAGCCACCTGCAAGACCGTCCATACTGATATCTGGGATGAGGCGGAGTTGCCATACTGCGTGTGCCCCCCGGGATCTTGGATGACCGCAACTGGATGCAAGGAAGGTAAGATTCAATACCGCCCCGACTGCTTCCAACCCTTGGATCACAAGCTGCATTCCCCTACCTCTGTGTTTGATGAGGGCTGACGAGGTGGTGTAGTGCGGTGATGATGGATACTGAAGCTGAGAGGTGCATGATGGATACTGAAGCTGAGAGGTGCATGACGGATACTGAAGCTGAGAGGTGCATGACGGGTACTGAAGCTGAGAGGTGCATGACGGATACTGAAGCTGAGAGGTGCATGACGGATACTGAAGCTGAGAGGTGCATGACGGGTACTGAAGCTGAGAGGTACATGACGGATACTGAAGCTGAGAGGTGCATGACGGATACTGAAGCTTAGAGGTGCATGACGGGTACTGAAGCTGAGAGGTGCATGACGGATACTGAAGCTGAGAGGTGCATGACGGGTACTGAAGCTGAGAGGTGCATGACGGATATTGAAGCGGAGAGGTGCATGACGGATACTGAAGCTGAGAGGTGCATGACGGGTACTGAAGCTGAGAGGTGCATGATGGATGCTGAAGCTGAGAGGTGCATGATGGATGCTGAAGCTGAGAGGTGCATGACGGATGCTGAAGCTGAGAGGTGCATGACGATTTCTGAAGCTGAGAGGTGCATGACGGTTGCTGAAGCTGAGAGGTGCATGACGGGTACTGAAGCTGAGAGGTGCATGACGGGTACTGAAGCTGAGAGGTGCATGAGGGATGCTGAAGCTGAGAGGTGCATGACGGATGCTGAAGCTGAGAGGTGCATGACGGGTACTGAAGCTGAGAGGTGCATGACGGGTACTGAAGCTGAGAGGTGCATGACGGATACTGAAGCTGAGAGGTGCATGACGGATACTGAAGCTGAGAGGTGCATGACGGGTAATGAAGCTGAGAGGTGCATGACGGGTACTGAAGCTGAGAGGTGCATGACGGATACTGAAGCTGAGAGGTGCATGACGGGTACTGAAGCTGAGAGGTGCATGGCGGATACTGAAGCTGAGAGGTGCACGACGGATAGTGAAGCTGAGAGGTGCACGACGGATACTGAAGCTGAGAGGTGCACGACGGATACTAAAGCTGAGAGGTGCACGACGGACACTGAAGCTGAGAGGTGCACGACGGATACTGAAGCTGAGAGGTGCACGACGGATACTGAAGCTGAGAGGTGCATGACGGGTACTGAAGCTGAGAGGTGCATGACGGATACGGAAGATGAGAGGTGCATGACAGATACGGAAGATGAGAGGTGCATGAGGGATACTGAAGCTGAGAGGTGCATGACGGGTACTGAAGGTGAGAGGTGCATGACAGGTACTGAAGCTGAGAGGTGCATGACGGATACTGAAGCTGAGAGGTGCATGACGGGTACTGAAGCTGAGAGGTGCATGGCGGATACTGAAGCTGAGAGGTGCATGACGGATATTGAAGCTGAGAGGTGCACGACGGATACTGAAGCTGAGAGGTGCACGACGGACACTGAAGCTGAGAGGTGCACGACGGATACTGAAGCTGAGAGGTGCACGACGGATACTGAAGCTGAGAGGTGCACGACGGATACTGAAGCTGAGAGGTGCATGACGGGTACTGAAGCTGAGAGGTGCATGACGGATACGGAAGATGAGAGGTGCATGACGGATACGGAAGATGAGAGGTGCATGAGGGATACTGAAGCTGAGAGGTGCATGACGGGTACTGAAGCTGAGAGGTGCATGACAGGTACTGAAGCTGAGAGGTACATGACGGATACTGAAGCTGAGAGGTGCATGACGGATACTGAAGCTTAGAGGTGCATGACGGGTACTGAAGCTGAGAGGTGCATGACGGATACTGAAGCTGAGAGGTGCATGACGGGTACTGAAGCTGAGAGGTGCATGACAGGTACTCAAGCTGAGAGGTGCATGACGGATACTGAAGCTGAGAGGTGCATGACGGATACTGAAGCTGAGAGGTGCATGACGGGTACTGAAGCTGAGAGGTGCATGACGGGTACTGAAGCTGAGAGGTGCATGACGGATACTGAAACTGAGAGGTGCATGACAGAAATTGAAGCTGAGAGGTGCATGACGGATATTGAAGCTGAGAGGTGCATGACGGGTACTGAAGCTGAGAGGTGCATGACAGGTACTGAAGCTGAGAGGTGCATGACGGATACTGAAGCTGAGAGGTGCATGACGGATGCTGAAGCTGAGAGGTGCATGACGGGTACTGAAGCTGAGAGGTGCATGACGGATACTGAAGCTGAGAGGTGCATGACGGATACTGAAGCTGAGAGGTGCATGACGGATACTGAACGAGTGGACCTCCACGAGACAGAACCAGAGCCAAGACTGAAGGTGTAACCCTGTGACGAACGCTGAGTCGTCTGGTCGTCGGCCCAAGAAGCGTCAGAGTGTCCTGTGAGGACCACCGAACCCCGTCCTCCAAGCACGAGCCCCATGCCTGATGTGCTGCACAAGTAACGCAGTACCCTCTTCGCAGCATCCCAGTGCACCTTTCGGTGTCTACCGGGTGCCACGTAGCGAGCCAGGAGGCTGAGAGGGTACGCGAGGTCAGGTCGTATGCACGTCATCAGGTACATGAGGCAACCCACAAGCTCTGGGTACGGACCACTCGGCTCTACAATCTCGTCCGAAGGTGGAGCTGAGAGCGAGTGGCCGGTAGACAGAGGAGTGGGCTGTGGTGAGGACCACGTGAAGCGGAAGCGCTGAAGGACCTGCTGCACCATGTGTGACTGAGTCAGGGTGATGGTGCGCCGTGCTCTGTCCTGGGTGATCTGCAAGCCAAGATAGCTCCGCAGCTCACCCAGTTCAGTGCAGGTGTGTCTCTCCTGCAGCTCCGCCTTCACTAGGGCCAGTGCCTCACTGTCAGCAGTAGCAAAAACCAAGTTGTCGACGTACACGAGGATTTAGAACGGCGGCAGAGTAGTGTCGGTGTGTAGAAACAGCAGAAGTCGAAGGAGCAAACCCAAGAGCCGCAAGTTTCGTCCTCAGTGTGTAGTGCCACTCGCGGGGCGCCTGACGCAGGCCGTACACTGGTCGCCGTAGGCTCCACTGGGTACCCTTAGGAAACGACCCAGTGAAGCCCTGTGGACGGCGCAACCAGATGGCCTCGTGAAGGCTACCCTGCAAGAAAGCTGTCGCGAAGTCGAGGGAGTGCAGCTCGTAGTCACGCTGAGCTGCAACGTGTAGCAACACCCGAAGAGTGGTCATCTTCGGGGTGGGGGAGAAGGTCTGAAAGAAGTCGACCCCCTCACGCTGACTGAAGCCTCGAGCAACGTAACGTGCCTTGAAGGCAGGTGGAGAACCCGGCGGCCGCTTCACCCTGAAAATCCACATGCCACTGACGATGTTCGCCCCAGGTGGGGGAACCTCGTCGACGTAGGTGCCTGTGGACTTCCAGGAAGCCATCTCTGCGTCCATGGCTGTCTGCCACTGAGAGGAGTACTCACCCGAAATCGCCTCCCTGTAGGAGCGCGGGGTGGGGATGTCAAGTGCATCCGGGTCTCCCTCAGGGGCAAGCAGCATGGTCGCGTGATGGGGTGAAGCGGCCGCAAGGCACTCCAGCTCCTCCTGTCTGTCCTCAAGAACGTCACAGCCAAGGGCAGTACAGCCAAAAGTAGTCTCACCCCCGACGGACGGAGGACAGGCAGGGACAGGGTCAGAGACAAGACTCGCAAGGTAGTCGAGGCGGTACACAGCAGCAAAGTCAACGAGCTCAGCTACTAGGGCATACGCAGTACGAGACGAGAACGTAGGGTCCGTCACAACCGTAGCAAGAAGGCGAGTAACAGTCGGACTGGACGCACGAGCAAGGTCAGACGGAGGGTCAGCAACGTCAGGCAGAGAGGACGCAGGAGGTAACGGTAGGACAACACACTGAGGAACAGAGGAAGGACGGAGTGTCATATCGTGAGTGCTGGGGACAGCCGGAGCACGCGGACGACGAGTACGAGAAACACGAGCACGGATAGCAGCTCGAGGCTCAGGCTCAAGGTCAAAGCTAGACTCAGGCTCTCGACGCTCAGAGGTGGAAGCACGAGTCGCAGGCTCTCGAGGCTCAGTCAGGGACTGTGTCACCGCAGTCTAAGGAGCAGGAGCAGGCAGTCGGGAGTGCAGTAGAAGTGGCGGCTGTGACTGGTCCGCCGGTGGACACAGCACCGGAGGAGTAGTACCTGCCACAGGGAAGCCAGTAGCACCTGGCTGAAGACTGAGAAGGTGGCGAAGAGCACCAGTAGCACCAGTAGGACCACCAGCACCTCCAGCCTCAGCAGCTCTAGCACCAGTAGCACCTCCAGGACCCCCAGTACCAGCAGCTCCAGTACCTCTAGCTCCTCCAGCACCTGCAGCTCCAGCACCTCTAGCACCTCCAGTACCTCCAGCACCAGCAGCTCCACGACCTCCAGCACCAGCAGCACCTCCAGCACCACCAGCCCCAGCAGCTCCAGCACCGCTAGCACCGCCAGCACAAGCAGCTCCACGACCTCCAGCACCAGCAGCACCTCCAGCACCTCCAGCACCAGCAGCTCCGCAACCTCCAGCACCAGCAGCACCTCCAGTACCTCCAGCACCAGTAGCCCCAGGTCCTCCAGTAGGAGCTCCGACAACACCAACACCAGAAGGACTCACAGCACCCCCAGAGTCAGCACCCGAACTCGCAGCACCCCCAGAGTCAGGACCCTCGGTCTCAGGACTCTCAGACCCAGTACCCTCAGGCTCAGTACCCTCAGTCCCAGCACCCTGAGGCTCACTACCCTCTGTCCCAGGAGCCTCAGTCTCAGCGCCCTTAGTCCCAGCACCCTCAGTCTCAGCACCCTCTGGCTCAGCACCCTCAGTCTCAGCACCCCCAGTCTATGCTCCAGTGTCCACAGAAGCAGGCTGCAGAGGCGGCGAAGACGACAGAGGTGGGAACCCGGGGGGGGTAGCCAGACGAGGAGAGCGGGTACCCCCAGACTCACCACCCCCAACCCCAGCTCCAGTAGTCTCAGCTCCAGAGTCCACAGCCGCAGGCTGCGGAGGCGGCGAAGACGGCCGTGGCGGAAAACCCGGGAGGGTCTCCAAGCGAGGAGTGCGGCGAGTGGTCGCCGTGTCGTCGGCGACTGTGTCACCCCCCTCAGCTGAGTCAGAGGAGTCAGAAGAGATCTCAACTGGCTCATCCAAGGGGGGTGGGTCTACCTGGGACACACCTGAGGGAGCAGGACCCTGTGGGGGAAGGGGGTCTACCGGGGGGGGGACTGGTACCAGGAAGAGAGGTGCGAGGGGGACCGGGTGGGACGCGTGCGGGTGAAGTCGGTAGTAACAGACCGACTCGTCGAAGGTGACGTCCTGAGAGGACAGAACACGACGCGAGGCAGGGTGGTAGAACTGCCAGGGTGGAGCGTCGGTGGGGAAGCCCAGGAAGACACAGCGGAGAGTGCAGGGAGAGAGCTTGCTCGCTTTGGTATCGCGAACAAGGGAGAGCGCGCCCCAGACCCGAAACGACGACGCATCACCAGGCTGTCCCGTCCAACGGAGTGTGGGCGAGGTCTCTGGAGCAGAGACACGGGGCCAGAGGTTGAGCTGATGCGCGGCGTAGCAGACCGCAAACGGCCACAGGAAATGGGGAGCAGCCGCATGGATCATGGAGGTACGAGCAACCTCCATGATCAGGCCAATGCGACGCTCAGCGATCCCATTTTGCTGCGGAGAGGCCGGAAGCGTGAACGACTGGGCGATGCCCTTATCCTGGCAGAACTTCTCAAGGACGCCAGAGGAGAACTCACCACCCCTGTCAGAGTGCAGACGCAGGACTGGGAAGTCCTGCTGAAAGCGCTCGTGCAGCTGGAGACGAGTAGCACGGATCCAGAGGATCAGAACACCGCTGACGTCCGCCTTGCGACGCAAGGGGAAGACTGTGGTGTAGCGTGTGTAGTCGTCAACAACCAGCAGGAAGAAGCGCTCCAGGTCCGTCCCACCGACGGGGGCCGGGCCCCACACGTCCAGGTGGAGAGTCTGCAGAGGAGCAGTGGTCGGAGGAAACTCGGAGGAGTGAGGAGCGGCACGCTGCCGCCCCTCGACGCAAGGAAGGCACAGTGGCGCAAGTGAGCGCGGGAGGGGGGGCAGGGTCTCAGGGAGGCCAGAGACCAGGAGCCGGGAGTGCATGCCGCGCAGACGCAGCTGCGACGGGTGGCCAAGACGGTGGTGCCAAAGCTGGGCAGGGTGGGTGAGGAGGCGACACGAGCAGGACGCAGCGAGCTGACCAGACGCAGCCACCTGACCAGACGCAGCTACCTGTGCACACGCTGTGGTGAGTGTGTACAGGCTCGACCCCGGCTGCCGTGTGAACGTAGCCAGGTGACGGCCTGTTTTGGCGCATGTGCAGATCGCCACACGCTGACCTCCAGGAGTAAAGGTGTCAACCCATACATCCTGGAGGATGGCGTTGCTCACCAGGTTCGTCGAGAACGAGGGGAGGTGGAGACCTGACAGAGAGCCAGAAGGGACAGCTGGGCACGGGAGGACAGTGGAGTGGCGTGCAACCACCGGACCCCCAGACAGGTCCGCCAGTGAGACTGGGACTGGTGTAGCGAGTGGGGTGACAGTGGTGCATTCGCGAAAGAAGCAACGGGACGCACCAGAGTCAAGCGTGAAAGTGTGCAAGACCTCAGCAGCAGCAGCAGACTCACTAGCACCTGGGGCAGTAGTGAGTCTAGCTCCTAGAGCGGCAGCAGACTCACTAGCACCTGGAGGAGCAGCATCACCACCAGCATCGCACGGCACACACAAGTAACACGCACCCTCAACACTAT